TTTTTTTTTTTTTTTTTTTTTGGTTGATAAATAAAATAATTTTCTCTTTCTTCCAGGTATGCTACCGGTAAGATGGATGGCACCAGAGTCCTTGGGACTAGGTATCTTCACTCCAGCTTCGGATGTTTGGTCCTATGGCGTTCTTTTGTACGAGATTATCACGTTCGGTAGCTTCCCTTTCCAGGGTATGAGCAACACCGAAGTACTGAACCATGTTAAGAGTGGAAATTCGTTGATGGTTCCTAAAGGAGTGAAGTTACAATTGTGAGAATCGATCATCTTGTCGCAATTGATATTATACGTAACCATTATTCTAACAATTATCTTTTCACAGAGAAAACTTGATGTACTCTTGTTGGAGACCAGATCACGTAAAGAGGCCAACTGCTCCGGAGATCGTCGAGTTTCTAGCGACGAATCCTCGAATTTTATCTCCGTGTTTAGACGTTCCTTTGGCCAGTGTGCAAATCGAGCATACTGGACAATTAGATATAGAGTTACCAGAGAATTTGAGGAAGTTTTCATTGTCGTGGCCACCTCAGAATTCCACGACTCGATCCACATCTACGTCCAGCCCTTTCGGTATACCGTATCCTCCTTTGCTAGACATCAACGATCACGACGATAAGCCGATTCAAAACTCGATTGTAGGCAATGGAATCGCCGATATAGAGAGTTCCAGGCCACTTTTGAAGGCTAACGAATCTTTGTCTGGTTTACCTATGATTCTTCAAAGTTTCAAGCAGAAAGAGGACTCACCGCATAAATACGTGAACATACAGCCGGGAATATCGAATAATTGCGATTATTCGAGCGATCAGAACGGTGGTGGCATTCAAATGGAGGAAAGAAGGGCTATATTGCCGGAAAATAGAAAGTCGGAGGACGTGTCGATTCTTTGACAGCAAAACAAACATGCGATTTCGCGGCAAAAATCAATGGTGCATTTCTATAAGCACGCCGAAGGCATATTTGGAAAATATGCAAAAAGATCTTACAGAAAGACCAGCGTTTAGATCACTTTGTGACCTAATTTTGTTGGTCGGATTCACGTGTTTCCGAACGTTGAAAACGGACGTTTTTACAAGCGTGGATTCTTCGCTATATGTTTGCGAAGTGAGGAGATATGCAACGTGTTTAATTGATACATTGGGGATTAAAATCTTATCGATTTAACTATGATGAAGAGAGATTTACAATAGATACGATCAAGAGAGATTTACAATAGATATTGCAGCAATGAAAACGGAAAACAATATCAGTTGCAACGAGCGGAAATGACTTTTCGAATGCAGATAAGCGAAATGATTCCCTAGATTTTCGCTCAATCCATTTTTGAGACTGATAAATGTAAAAAAAAAAAAAA